AATTACACCCAAAGAACTGGAAGCAGAGACTCAGACGAATACACATACATCGTAGTACTATTCACAACAGCCAAAAGGTGGGAATAACCTGCGTTCATCAGTGGATGAATGGATAAAGGAAGCATGCTACATACATAAAATGGAATATTATTCAGGCTTAAGGAAAGGAGTCCTCTACAATATAGTGGAACTATGAAAAGTTGCTAAATGAAAGAAGGTGGTTGCAAACATTACTTATTATAGGTAAAATTGTTTACATGAAATTTCCAGACTAGATCAAGGAATAGGTACAGGGCTTTTTTTTTGTCTGGGGGTGTGTGATAAATACTTTGGAACTAGAGGTGGAGGTTTCAGAACTTTGTAAATGTAGTAAATGCCACTGAATTGCTCACAATAAAATGGTTAGGGGCTGAGGATGTAGCTCACTGGTAGAGTCCTTGCCTAACAAGTGCAAGACCTCAGATTCAATCCCCAGCATGGCAAAAAGGGGGAAAAAATTAATTTCATATGTAATTCTAACCTATATTGCAAAAACATACACATATGTAAATATGCCCATATAGGTACATATAAAATATATGTATGTAAATAAGCCGGAAGGACACATTTCTGATGGCTAGAAATGTACCATTTTGTTCTCTTGCTTTTTTTGTATCAATGAATGTAAATTTCATTCATCCTAAAAGCAGCCAGTCACGTCCTATACTGTCCCCCTTTCTTCGTGATCTTCTGGAAGCCCACGCTGCAGTTTTAAGACACACAGGAGGCGCCGGCGCCCCGGAGACGCCCAGTGCCCGCTGTCGTCCAGAACGGGGTGCGGAGGGAGGGCAAGGAGGAAGACCGAGAGGGAGGGAAAGGCTCGTATTCTTTTGCACCTTAAGAGCCGGACTCTGCCACATTATTTCGATATGCGCTTTGTCCGGTAGCAACCTTCCGCCTGTGATGGTTCTCTGCTGCTTTGTAGAAAGGGGCAGATTAGCACGCAACGGCCCCCCAGTCTTCCCTCTAACACGCGTGCTAGGACGCCAGCCTGGGGTCACGCATTATCCTGCTGCTGACCTCCAATGTGCTTGGAACTCCTGCTCGGCTTGTGAGAAGAGCCTATCAGTTGGTCTTGCTGCTCCTGAGCCCGAATACTGCTCAGTAAACCCCAGCTCCAAGTAGGCTGAGTAGTCAAGTGGGAAAGCAAGCCCAGGCGCCCCTGAATTTCAAGAACAGGGATGGCGTCGGGAGAGCGGGCAGGTCTGAGGGGCAGAACTGAAGTCTGCTCTGGGGGCCCCCAAATCCTGACTCTTTGAACGGTCCTGGTTTCCGGTGTGGGAAATACCCATCTTTTCTTCGTCTTCAGGGGCAGTCTCTCACATCTCACAGGCTACTTTATTCTCTTACCTAGGTATACTCGGAACACTTCACAGGATGATCTCTAATGAAACCCAATAAACAAAAATATGGTAAAGCTTCTAATGAGAGCTTCTATGTAATTCTAAGGAAGTACGCCTAATTCCTCTTTAAACCTATAAATACAATCATGCCCATAAACACACATGGAGTATTTTTTACCCTAAAGTACTGTGCCCAGCAAAGATCTGAGGCACTGGTGAACTTCACCATGTTTAGGGCCACAGCTCAGGGTCCAGTTCAGCTTTCCAAATAAAGTACCTCCTAGACTTTGGCATGCATGTGTACACACACACACACACACACACACACACAGCTTGTGATTTCTCATGTTTTGCCTACACCTTGTCACCAAATCTCGTTTTTCAGAATGTGGCTACAGCTTGTCAGAGTGACACATAATCTTTGCTAGAAAAGGTCCTCCCCAGACAGAAAAATGACCAGAAACTTCCAGAACATGAAATGCAAGTATCTTTTGACTTTCAAGGTTTTATCCTAAAGACCTGCATGTGCCTGAGAGCAACATGCAGATATATTCAGAGGTATTGTTAGAAATAGCAAGAACGCTGGGCCTGGTGGCGCACGCCTACAATCCCAGCACTCAGGAGGCTGAGGCAGTTTGAGACCAGCCTGGGCTAGAAAGCGAGCTCAAGGCCAACCTGAACTATATAGCAAGACCCTGTCTCAAAAAGATTTTTAAAAAAGGGCCTGCGCTATAGCTCAGCAGCACAAGCATCTGCCTGGCAAGCGCAAGATCTTGTGTTTGATTCCCGTTACCAAAAAATATATATGTATCTATTATGTTGGCTACCTGGATCTTTTAGGCCAGGTGCAGGATTACTGTTGCGAGTTTGAGACCAGCCTGGGCTACAAAGTGAGCTCAAGGCCAGCCAGAACTGCAGAGCAAGACCCTGTCTCAAGAAGCCAAAGGAAAAAAAAAAAAAAAACCATAAAAAGCAGAAGGAAAAGGGAATGAATGAATTACAAAGCATCACACTGAATGCTATTTATGACTATATCACCCAGTTAGAGAAAGAAATCCATCATGAAATTGGTAAGGATCTCACTAGGCTACTTTTCACTTTTTTTGGTGTGCTGAGGTCAGTCCAGGACCTCAGGTATGCTAAGCACCAGCCCTACCACTGAGGTACATCCATGACCAAACCTTCACTGATTCCCCAGCACTGAACTTCAGGGTTCACTCACCAGTTTCTCCTCCTATCACTCCAGATCTGTATCACTTTCTCTTCGGTGGATGCCCATAAACTCAGCTACAGAAGGTCCAAACCAGTGCACGTACGCAAAGGCTCCAGCGAATCCGCTTCCTTCTGGCAGAGAGCATCTATTTTAGACTGAAACCTCCCGGAAGTGGAGCATATCAAGTTATTCCCGTGCCAGTCTGTGCTGTGCGGTTATGTATTTCTCTGCCACTGCGGATCACCAAACAGCAGCATTCCTAGACCAACATTTTGCCTCATTACTCCAGGGAGCAAGTTGGCCGAGACCCAGGGAATTTCCCAAGCTGTGGCAAATGTTAGCACTGCTTTGCTATTGGAAGAGGACAAAAATATGAACTACCTTGCATCTTGTTGGCTAGCAATCCAAACCCCTTTTTGGCTTTCATCTAGTATTAGAGTATTTCAAGTATAAATCTATTATCACAGTCACCAAAAAGATTACTTGCTAGTGGTTCACACTTAGGGCTTAATATTTAAGCTGGGTTTGATGTATGCAAATTTGCAGTAATACCATACTGCAAAAAAAAGCATGTCCAGGTCCACTGTACCAAGCAGACCCAGATTTAAGCTTCTGTCATAAGCCCTGTGATGCATAACAATGTCATGGCCACATTTTTCATTCAAAAATCATTACCTTGCCTCTCTGGTAGTTTTTAACATTGCTACTGCCAAAACACCAGCAACTGTTGATTGCCTCGGTGCTGAGATGATCTGCTGCATGGCTATCACACAGGTACTTTTCTACCTTTGCCTTTCAATCCTTAACGTGTGGCACACACAACACACACCGCCAACATTTTGATGGACGATCAGAATTACAGCAACTAATCAGCAGGTTTCCAACCTTTACACAGCAAATCAGGATGGGATTAACTGCATGGCATGGTTTTAAAAACAAAGAACCTAATACTGAAAGTTGGTTTACCCAAGCAAGAACCCTCAAAACTACAGCGTTGTAACCCTCTCTAGGCATTAGAACAGTCATTTTCAGCCAGTTGTGGTGATACGTGCCTGTATTTCCAGCAATTGGGGGGCCGAAGCAGAAGGATCACAAATTCAAGCCCAGCCTGGGAAACTTGGCAAGGCCCTGTCTGAAACTTATAAAAAAAACTGCGTTTGACCCACAGTACTGCAAAATAAAATAATTTAAGTCACTTCAGAGTAGGCGAGTGGGGGGAAAAAAAGAATCAATTATACCATGTACAGGTACAATTCCCTATAATGAATGGGATCACTGTTGACCTAAAAAGTACCAATAAACCTAAAAAACAGAAAATTATTTCAACTTTTTTAACAGTTTTACACTAAATTATCTGCATTACTGCCTGACTTGAATTTTGGCCTCAGAAGTATCCAAGTTCCAGGGGACACTGTCTGGATACTACACAGAACTCATCAGTTTTCAGATCTGAAAGGATTTTTGTCCAGTTCTGCCAGGATCTGAAGCCAGTTATACAATTAACCCAAAGCAATTGTTCCCATTATCAACATCTTACAGAGTTGCCATGACACACCCACTTAAGTTATAAAGAAGTTTCCTTGAGGCAGAATTCATTTTTAACTGGTTTAGACTTAGCAATATGTTTGACAAGGTGCTTCTGATTGTAAATTCATCCATTTAGATGAACAAATGATTTTTCATTTCCCTCACTAAAAATCTGGTAATTTTTGAAACTGCAGCCATTCAGTTGAGGTTCTCATTTGGTTTAGAAAACAGATCTCTGCCGGGTGTGGTGGCACACACCTACAATCCCAACAGTCGGGAGGCTGAGGCAGGAGGATCACTGCAAGTTCGAGACCAGCCTGGGCTAGCCTGAACTGCAGAGCAAGGCCCTGTCTCAAAAAGACAAAAAAAAAAAAAAAAAAAAAGACTAGCCTAGGTTACAAACTAAGTTCAAGAACATCTCAAAAAGACAAAGAAAAATAAACCCCAGATCTTTCATTTATGATCACCAATCCCCTATTTTCACTTATATGTCTTCGGTTTTTTTTTTTTGAAGACTGTCTCACTATGCAGTTCAGGCTGGCCTTGAACCATGGTAGCTCCCCTGCCTCAGCCTCCCAAGGGCTGGGATTACTTACAGATCACTTACATGTGTCTTACCTTAAAAATTTATAACATCCTGAAAGCAAAACTAGTCTTTTCAATTATATATATAGCATCCTCTGCACACACTTGGAATGTTTTTGACAAAACCTGTTTTTATCAGCCCATTAACCTATTTATAAGCATGGAGTATTTTTAAAGGGAAAAACTTTGTCAGCTCTTATACTTATTTAAAAGGCGTTGCTAAGAGGTACTGTATTATTGGAAGCGATTGAACAAAATCTTAAAATTCTTAAGTGAAAGCCATTTAACTGATATTTAAAACCTCTGCAATTATTAGTTTATTAGTATCATCCAGGACTCAGATGTTCAGTATTCCTCCTGAAATTACATAAACAAATGCAAATGGAAAGAATCCAAGTCAAAATTATATAACAAAACAGCACTCCATCACAAAAGCGTGTAGAATTACAAGAACCCTATTTTAAAACACTGGCACTTTAAGAGTGATAATCTCAAAGCCCGTAAAACTGCCAAATTTTCCCTAAACTGCTAAGCAGATAAACGTGACTCTGAGTTTTGTAAAGAAAAACTCAAACTGGGTAATTCATACCAAGATGTGACGCTCTTATTTTTTGCTCATGTCTAAAGGGGAAACCCCAATATAGACGATCTAACCTTTTCTAATTTGTGGCGTAATTTTAAAAGTTGACCCAATTAATTAAAAATACTTTTACCGGAGTCAAGTTTCCTGAGCAGTCCGTACTTTGATAAACGGGTAAAGGCAGATATAGCCAGCACTTTCACTGCCTTCACGGTAAATAATGTCAACAAAAAAATCTGAGTCTTGTATGTTAAACTCACGCTTTTGGGAATACATTCTCGGGCCTCCTCTAATGTGGGAACTGCACAATATAACTGCCATTACACGGTAATGGGAGTTAAAAAGTCCTCATGTAAAGATCAGAACATATTTTTTCTATTAGTCCTTCAAGGACAGACTTCCAGATTGCTTGATTCTAATAATCCCATGCTATGAACAGAACTGGTTACTCTTTCCTAAGGGCTATGTGAAACTCGCTATCAACCGAGTGAGATTTTGAAGTTTGATGGATGAAAATGTTCTCAATTTGACTTTTATTACCCCCATCACGATATGCAGGGTGTGTAGACAGAAGCTTTGCATCCACTAACTATATGAAAAGATAAACACTAATAATTCACGTGATCCAAAATGGGCAAAAGCAAAAGACTAGCTTCCCTTCAAGAAAAATTTCAGACCTATGAAAAGGACAACAATACTAATAAAAAAAATTGTATTTACTTAGAAGCATTCAGAATGTCAACAAAACAGCTGCAACTTTTTTTGCAATTACAGAGTGGTATTCAGTTAACAGAACAACAATTATTTCGTAGAAGCTGCATCAGAGACAACTGAAGATGAAAAACTACCGTCCCCATAGATAACTAATTTGTGCTGTGCACCAACAAGAACCTGCTTTAAATTTCCATGCCAATTTACAACCCCCATACTGTACCAGGCAAGGTTAGTGGCTATTGAAAATACCACCAGGACAGGGCTATCTAAAGACACATTCGGTAGTGTGTTAACTATACAAAAAAAAGACACTGTACAGTTTAAAAACAAATCTTACACAGCCTTACATTTCAATTTTTTTCTTCAAAAGGAGTGAGTTGTGTACAGGGGGGTTAAATGCTTTATAGACAAGAAAAAAAAACTGCGCTAGAACCAACTTATTCATCATCATCATCTTCCTCTTCCTCTTCATCCTCTTCGTCTTCTTCCTCCTCCTCATCCTCTTCATCTTCCTCATCCTCCTCCTCTTCCTTCTTTTTCTTGCTCTTCTCAGCCTTGACGACTCCCTTTTTCGCGGCATCAGGTTTTCCTTTAGCTCGGTAGGCAGCGATGTCCTTTCAAAGGGGGAGAGAAAACGGCAGCAACAGTCAAGGAAGGGAACACAGCAAAACGCACCTTCACGAGCAACCAGAACTTGGAAAAAAGGCACACAAAACTGCGATAATTAGGAGCAACCCCTGACTCATGAAATGCCATGGGCTAGTATTTGCAATGCTGTGTGCCCCGCTGAGGTGCAATTACATACCACATCTAACTATTTCACTAAAACGACAATACAGAAACTTTGATTAAAGGGTAGACACTGCCACCTTCTGAACGCAAGAAACATTCTACAGGTTTATATTGTCAGACTCTGATCCATGGTAGAAAACTGTCTTAAAAGACAGGCAACTTGCCAATAAACTTGCAGGAAGGGGAAGAAATATTTAAAAATGGGTACTTATCAGAATGACTAACCAAGCTAAAATTTAAGTAGTTAATATCTCTATTTCAATAATAGGACTTACAGCTTTCCTTCATCTTATGAACTTACTGTTTGGGCAAACTTAAAACAGTGAGGCTAGAGATTTTGGGAATGGAATCTAAATGCTTCAGGGAATAGTTATGAAAAGTACTCGTATGCTTTGCTCGGCTTATTTTTATACCGTATGCCTGACCATTTTAAAATAAATTATTTCTGACTCAAAGCAACTACCAAATTTTTACAAAATTGGAAATTGCCGGGTAGTAATAACAAAATCAGCTTAAATGTATGCCCTTGGCCCAAGTCAAATTATATCAAGTAAAAATAATAACATTTCCTTTGGTGTTCAAAATTCTTTTAAAGGTAAGAAAAAATTTAGGCTGACACAGCCATTATACTAGGAACTATTTCACCCCAAATTCAGAAATCTAAGCACATCCACACTCCTCACCTTTTCGTACTTTTCCTTCAGCTTGGCAGCCTTCTTCTCGTACGGCTGCTTGTCATCTGCTGCAGTATTATTCCACATTTCTCCCAGTTTCTTCGCAACATCACCAATGGAGAGGCCAGGATGTTCTCCTTTGATTTTTGGGCGATACTCAGAACAGAACAAGAAGAAGGCCGAACTAAAGAGAAATTCATTTTAGGACTGTAAGTTAACATCAAAAAAACCGGTACAATTAAGTACATAAGCTGCCTGCTAATTTCCACCACGTACTGAATGGGGTGCAAATATTTAGCTAAAGCTTAATTACAGTTACTTAACTTATACTAATCAGAGACCCAGAAGAACATTCTGTGAAGTATTTTAGATAACAGTTCTACAGAAATGAGTGAAAATTATATTAGGAGATACCATATATTATGCAAGGTTGCCAAAGGATGAACGCAAATACTCTAACACTTGCACTCGACAGGAATTTTACTTACAATATTTAGATATACCAATGTGAGCCACTATCAGCTTAAGGAACTTTGGAAACTCTAAAACTCACAGGGTGGCTTCCTCAATTTGTGACTCTACCACAAAACAAGTCCTGAAAATAAAAGAATACTTACGGAGGCCTCTTGGGTGCATTGGGATCCTTGAACTTCTTTTTTGTCTCCCCTTTAGGAGGAATATAAGTTTTCATTTCTCTTTCATAACGAGCCTTGTCCGCCTTTGCCATGTCTTCAAATTTTCCTTTCTCTTTAGCAGACATGGTCTAGGGAAAAATTATTTGCAAATTTAATTGATGTAAAAATTTTAATTATCCGAAAACATTAAAATGAAAAGTACCCTTTGTCATTTGTTTAGGAAAACGGACAAGGAGGCTTCATTTCCATCCTGATTGGGAGATGACGGGTGGTTATTACCTGGTGAGCACGCATGCCTTGCACCCTCTTACCTTCCACCTCTCTGAGCACTTCTTAGAAAACTCTGAGAAGTTAACGGAAGCATCTGGGTGCTTCTTCTTGTGCTCCTCTCGGCAAGTTTGCACAAAGAATGCATATGATGACATTTTGCCTCTCGGCTTCTTAGGATCTCCTTTGCCCATGTTTACTTGTTTTCTAAAAATTAAAAAAAAAAAAAAAATTTGACGTTACCAATAAAATTATAGCGTTTAAGAGCTTAAACCGCTTAGGGTGGGAACAAAAACCGCGGCACCGGGTTATTAGCACAGCAGTGACATTAACTTCCCGTAAGAGCGGACAAGAACGTGGCAAGACGCACCACTCCTAGCGGGGGCTACTCCAATCAATAAAGGGGGTCTTCCAACGGGATCTCCCAAGTCCTGACACCGGGTTCTCGGAAATGCTCGGTATGCGTCGGCCGTGACTGTGCCGAACGCCCAACCGGTCCCGTAAACAGGTCTCAAAACGCACACAACCATTTTTAACAATGCCGAAGGTTTAAGGAAAACACCTCCTGCGTGGATCTGCGCTAGACAAGGAGTAACGAGCCCGGGCAGACCTTGCGAATTACAGGCCCGAGAGGGGAAAAAAAAAAAAAGAAAAAAAGAAAAGCCGAGCAAAAAGACCCACCACCGTGCATGTAAAGTTTTCCCGATCACTTTCAAAATCGCCTCTGCGTGAAACTTCGCTCGGAGGGCGGCGCCGCCGGGGCG